GGGTTCCCTGTCACCCCCTGTCCCCCCCCCAGGGCTCCTCAGCCTCCCTCCCCCCAGACAGGGCTCTGCCCTCTGGAAGCAGCGCTGGAGCCGTGGGGCGGGCGGTGGGCCACCATATGTATCCAACACGAGAGTTCCTGGCAAGAGGAAGACGAGAGACCCAGATTAAAAAATGTCGGCATTGTGGTTTGGAAAATGAGACTTTCCCATGTTATTGGCTACTGTCCAGCGGTCCAGGATGCGAGGGTCAAGAGCCACAACCAGTCATGTGAACTGCTGGTGGAAGAGGCGAAAAAGAAGGACTGGGTGGTAATCCTGGAACCGCTGTTGAGAGATGAGAAAAATGAATTGTATAAGCCAGACTTGGTATTTGTTAATGAAAACCAAGCCTTGGTGGTGGATATAGCCGTAAGATACGAAAGCAAGTTAACATCTCTGAAAGATGCAGCAGCAGAAAAAGTTAAGAAATATCAACATTTGAAAAATCAAGTACAAGAACTAAGCAATGCCAGTACCATCAAATCTATGGGATTTCCGATGGGTGCACGTGGCAAGTGGCACTTGGACAATTATGAATTATTGAAAGAACTTGGACTCTCTGGTTCCCGACAAGAAAAGGTCGCCCACCGATTACCAAATAGGGCACTATTTTCTTCTGTGGACATTGTACATATATTCGCCAGTAAAGCGCGGGTTACTGAATGTAATTCGTAAATAATAATGAATTTAATAAACTTATTGTAGGGCTAGAAGCGGCCGCGCAGAGAAGGGGGACAAAAGCTTGTGAGTGGGTGAACAATCTGACTATGGCGGATAGCATGTAGGGATGTATGGACTCCATTTTCATGACGCGTCTTATAAATTTTGGATTTGACAAATCATTACCAACTTTGTCCAAGGTAGACAGGCCACCTACACTTAACCCAGAAAAGAAACATGTATGGTTTTATACATGTCCTGTGCCCCCATGTCAGCTCCCTGCGGGTCTGCTGTGGGACCTCCCGACACCCCACTCCCGTCCTGCCTCCAGCTGGGGGGATCAAACCCTCCAGTGCCCCCCTTGGGCACCCACGGCCCTCCGCAGGACCCTCACGGACCACCACCCTTGGCCAACGTGTGCCCGTGCCAGCCCTCCCCACGTCCTTGGTGCCTTATCCTTGACACCATCCCCAGGCAGGCGCCACCGCGGGCGCTGCTGGTGGGACATCTTCCCAAAGGGCTGGAGGGACACGCCACCCCGGGGCGTGACATCCCTGCCACGGGGCTTGACTCAACCTCTCGGACCTTTCCTGTCTCTGAGGCAATAAACGGTGAAACCAGGACGTTTCAACACAGAGATGGCCCAACTCGGGGCCGTGCCATGCAGAGCGCTTCCCCTGCTTCCCGGCAGAGCTCAGCTCTTCAGTGGAGCAAATCTCCCCGTTTGGGATGTGCCGGAAAGCCACAGCCCCCTCCCCAGCCCTCCCGCACGCCTGCAGAGCTCAGCTGCGTGGGGCCGTGCTGGTTTTGCCGTGCAACCCCTGCGAATCACCTCCACACTCTGCAGGTCCCATGGGGCTCTGAAGACCTGACCTGCAGCGGGCTCACCTCGGCCACCACCAGACGAGAGCGTAACCCGCCCTCCGGTCCTCGCAGCAGCCCGTCCCTCGCATCCTGGAGTCGCTCCCTGAACCCCAGGCTCTTTTCTGGATGAGACTCGTGGGCAGCAGGGCTTGGTGGGCTTCAAGCTTCCCAACAGCAGGAGAGTCCAAGCTAGTGGTGCACCAAGGGCTGCTGCTCCTCCTCCTCTTTCTCCTCCTCCTCGTGCTGTTTCACGATCAGACTACAGCGACTTCCTGGCGTTGCACACAGCTTCTCACCAACCATTAGGAAAGAGCTTCTGGTTTCAGGGGAGGGGGACTTCGGAGAGGATCTCCTTGCACAAGTCCTTCTGCTTGGATGCCTCCGGTGGCCTTTAGAAAGGAGGTGAGCACGCAGGAAAGTGACCGCTGATGGAAAATGGTGAGTAAGAGCCGGACCTGGGCAGCGCCGGACCTGGGGATGGGGGGGGAGCAGAGCCGTGTCTCCTGCTTGGAAAGGCTTTGGCAGTGTGGTGTCCTTGCGAGGGGCTGGATTCTGCCAAGACCCTCGTTCCTCCCGGAAAACTAAGTCCTCCTGTACGTCTGAGCTGGCCGGAGCTTCTGAGGTCTCTGACCTGTTCCTGGGCTGAGTGTGAGATTTGCCGGGTGACGTTGGACCGGATATAAAATCCGTGAAAGGGGAGAGGGCCCCACTCGGCCACTGAGTCCAGGAGAGCACCCGCCAGGGCAAGATGTGTGGAAAAAAGCTGGAACTGATCATGGTGACAGCGGTGCTGCATCCCACAGGTACACCTGAGGGCTCTGCGGGAGTCCCAGCTCCAAAATTGATGGTACAAACCTCTGAATCATTCCGGTGCCAAAAATCCCAGCAGCATGCTTGGGAATCTGGCAAAAAGTTGCTTTTTTTCACCAGTTTGGGTGAAAGCCCTGCTGCGGGGTGGGCAGGAAACTGAATTTGTGCTGCTTCACCACAGGCCGCGCTCAGAGTGCCGCCGCATTTGCAGCCTTGACCGGGGAAACTGGGGTGAGCGCCTGGGGATGCGAGGGGCGCTCGCATTTATTTGGGTATCTGTACATTTGAGCACGGACATCTACAAATGTTGCGCCAGCTGCTTTGCACATGAACCCCTCTGTTGTGAAAGAAAAAAATTACGCAAGCCCAAACCCAAACTGAAATCCCAGAAGGAGGAGAACTTCAAAATCAAAGCCGAGGGCAAGCGGAACAGCCAGCTCCGGTGCAAAGAGACGCTGTGGTCCGGGGGCAGGGGGGTGGGAGAAAGATGGGGGAGGGCAAGGTGATCCCTCCCCTCCCGTAAGGTCCATCTGAGAAGCTTAGGAAAAGTGTAACCCCATCCCACCTGAGTTCTGTGCTGTACCTCAAACCTGGCTCGCTTCTTCCAAAAGTCAGCCAGAATCCCAGCAGCCTGTCCCTGGAGGCTTCAGAAAAAGGTGCTTTTTGGTGGTTCCGAGAGCGGAGGCAGCTCTGTGCTGGGGCCAGCGTGTCCCAGCTCACGCATGCACGGTGTGAGCAGCACAGGAAACGTGCTGGTCAGAACAGCAGAGCAGATCTGCTGCCTCTTGGGCATTTTTTTTTTTTTCCATGCAGGCTTTGGTGGGATGAGTTCCAGCAGCACCGTCCTGGGTTGACCTCCAGGGAGGGATGCTGATGGCTCTCTGGGGCCTCCCCCACCAACTCCTGCCTGACTACTCTGGGTTCACTTCATGGGAACCAGGACGGGGCAAGGCAGGTTGTTCCCATCTGAGCCCTGGGCAAGCTCTAGATCTCAAATTCTGCCCTCAGGAGCTTTGCTTTTATAATCCCCTGCCCCATCCCTCTGTTTTGGTGGTCCCTGGTAGTGGTGGAGCAGACCAAAAGACTCTATGGAACACCTCCTGGATGCCCTCATGGTGCTGGGACCTCTTCCCCATCTGGTGCAGCCCGGGGGTGTTTTCTCAGGCACGCTCCGGGACTGCTTTGAGCAAAGAGCACTTCTCATGGATGAGGCTTGGTGTCAGGTCGTGGTGAAGAAATGCTGCGTTCCCCAGGGGGTCTTTGACTCGTTTTCCTCCCTGGTGTTTTAACTGGAGCTTTTCTTAATGGTTGCAGACACATCTGGAGGGGAAAGAGGCCGTGGTGAGGCACCTGCAGGCAAAGCTCAAAGGGAACAGGACAGACCGTCCCGAAGCGGGTGCCTGGCCCAAGAGTCGCCCTGCAGCATCCCCTGCAACGGAGCCAGGAGAGACCCCCGCGCCAGGCTCCAAGGGTGAGCCACCTCCCAAGCCCCTCCAGACCAGGAGGGTGGACTTCAGCAGGGCTTCTCCGTCTCGTAGTAAAGGTCAGAGTGTGGTACAGCGTTTGCCTCCTCATCCTGGCTGTGAGACCCCGGGATGGAAGGTGCAACTGAAGAAGGGGATTGCTCAAGATGCCAGCTTCCCCCCAGCCCCTGCAAAGCCAGGAGTGGGAGATGCATTGAACAAGGAGGTGGGAGACACCTCCGATCTTCCCCTGAGAAACCCAGCCCAGCAGACATGGCCACTTGCCAAAGACAAGGGTGCTCCAGTGGTTCCTGCCAAAGGCCAAGCCTCCCTGGACACCGTGGGAAGCCCCCGTGGGACAGGGCACCCAGCTCTGCCTCGGAGGAAGCCTTTGCCACACATCAAGGCAATGGGACCAAGGCCAGCCAAGCCCAGGCGCCCTCCTGTTGTGGATCTGGAGAAGTTTGGTGCGGCTGCACATCCTGGGATGCCCGGCCGTCCTGCCACGGAGCCACCAAGGAGCACACAGCCGGGTATGGCCAGGCACCAGCAAGTCCCCCAGAGAAGGATGACTCTCATTCAGGAAGGAAAATCTCCCCAGTTAGGGTCTGGAGCTCCTGGAGATGGAAATATTGGAGGGGCTGATGGAGAGGTGGGGGCTGGTAATGCCAAAGAGGCCTTTATAGGCATAGCACGAGGAAAGGAATGAGAGAGAAGGACAGCAAGTGAAGAAACGAAGGGGACTAAGTGCCCTGTCCCTGTCTGGGGACAGATATCAGGCTCTGGGGTGCTTGTAGGGAGCAGGGTTGGAGTAAGTACCATGAGGGATGCTGACAAACTGGAGGGAGCCCAGTGCAGGGCACTAAGATGGTTGGGGGCTGGAGCACATGGGGAAAGAGAGGCTGAGACCCAGGCTTGTTTGGCCGGGAGGAGAGATAGCAAAGGGGAGATCCTCTCACTGCCCACAGCTACCTGATGGGAGGAGAAGATGGAGCCAGGCTCTTCCCAGAGGTGCCCAGGAGCAGGACCAATGGGGACGGGCATGAGCTGCAGTAGGGGAAATTCCAGTTTGAGATTAGGAGAAGGCTCTTTCCTGTGAGAGTGGTGCAGCCCTGCGGCAGGCACCAGGGAGATGGGTATCTCCATCCTTGGAGATATCCTGTTGTCACCTAGACGAGGCCCTAAACAACCTGCTCCAGCTCTGAGGCCAGCCCCGCTCTGAGCAGGAGGTTGGATGATGCTCCAGAGGTCCTTTCCAACCACTCCACCCTTGTGTGGCTGTAAGAGCAGACAAGCCTGACTGGTGAGAAGCTGCACTGGTCTCCATCCCATGGGCAAGAAGCACTTACCCACCCTTTGGCCAAGGGGCAGAGGCTCTCTGAAGCTGGCAGCACGTTGCCTGCAACACCATCCACCTCCAAGCCTGAGGGAGCTGCTGAGCCTCCCCAGGCACAGCCAGAGGTATCGCCGCCAGGGCCACGGTGCTGGCTTAGTGTGCCCTCCTTACCGGCTGTCCATGGGATGCAGGGCTTGGTGCCTCTTGGACGTGGTGATTCTCCATTCAGCATGAGCCCTGCCACACTCCAATGTGGCCTTCCAGATCTGGGCAGAATTGTTGGTTTCTAACAGCTGCCGCTCTGCTAATCCATGCTGTGGGTGACAAAATGTGTTTCAAATCCTCTTTCTTCCTCAACTCCTCCAAGTTCTTCTTCACCACCCCACATAAAAGATGGTTCCTCATTAACCAGCTCATGCCACAGACATGGGGCAGAGGGCAACCATGAGAGCAGAGCCTCTCTTCCTCATGAGAACTGCAAAAACGAGCTGGTTTATGTTATTATTAAAGACATGATTACTGTATGAGCACTCAGGGGCCTTTCTCAGGCTTGGCCATGCCGTCGTGCTGGGAGATGCTCACCCACCAAGACGGGCCCCGGCCCTGGGCTGAGTGGCCCTGGCAGAGGAGGGAGTGATCTGCTCTCCACATGTCCTACAAACCAGCAGTTTTCAAGTGTTTATTCGTCTGAGGCATATTTGAACACCATTATTTTAGTTAATTTTTAGGGCAATCTTACTATCTTTAGAGCCTGGTATATGATTGCGCATTTCTTGGTACAATAACCCAGCAGAGCTGCGATGTCGTACCACAGATCTTTGTGCCATTTGTTGGTTGGCCTGGTTGACCAGGCTGGGGACAGCTACAATTCTGGTGACAAAAATAAGGGGACCTTAGCAGCCATGTAGGTGTGCCGGCGATCGTGCAGGGCGCAGCAGCGTGTGCTGGCTGATGATGCTCCTGAGCACATGGAGGTATCCAGGACTTGCCCTGACTCGGGTACAGATCTGGAGTTGAGGGTTTTTGACACATTCAAAATACCCATTTTGGCCTCTTCCCCTCCCCTTTCATCACTGGTCCAGGGAGAAAGTAACATTAGGGACATAAGAATGGGAAAATATATATTAAAACTCCCCAGTGAGCTCCCCAATGAGCCATGCCCCAGTGTGCTGGGAGGAAAGAAAATCTGCAGATGGGGTAAAAACACCTCACCGGGTCCAGACATGCAGTCAGTTTTATCTCCCCACATCCCTCTGCACTAAATCTAACCCAGGGCGGCTCTGAGCCTCCGGGTGGGTAATGAGTCAAGGAGAAAATGTGAAATAATCCCTCGCTGCTCCCTCCCGTTCCTCTTTCTACTATAGGTTACCTGAAACCAGGCCACGTTGCGTCAGCCCCAGCACGGTTCCCACCGCAGGATGCTCCGAGTGCAGCAGGGTAAGGACTGAGGCCGCACTTTTATTCTAGGTGGCTTCCAGGCTGTCCCAACCCAGTGGGAAGGGCACAAGAGGGAACAGCAAGAGGGTCCTTGGGTTCTTCTCCCTGCTCCTGGAGCCCAGCGTGGGATGGCACCTTGTGCAGGCAGCTCCCGCGGTGCAAAGCGCCATCCTTCACGGGCTGCACTGCCGCCCAGGTCTGGCTGCTGCCATCGTGCCCCGCTGCCCATCTCCTGCACCCCAGGCTGCTGTGCCGCGCTGCCGAGCCTTGCGAGGAGCTGCTGTCCCGTGGCACAGAACTGCTGTCCCGCTCTGCCCCAGACCCGCGGCCAACCCACGGGCAGCCCACCCTCCTGCTGGCAGCCTCGGTCCTGCCCTTGGCCCCCAGTGCCGTCGCTGCAACAGGGCTTCCTAATCGCTGTCTGCCTCATCGCAGGGATGAAGATGAGGTGTACGATGACGTAGAGCCCGTTGGGCTGCTCCAGAGAGGCCAAGGCTTTCCGCTGCCCCCCGTGTCCCGGCCGCCAGCGTACCCCAGCCCCAGAGGAGGTGGGTACAGGAGGGGCTGGGATGCCAGTTGGGATGAGCACTGTAGCTCAGAGCTTCAAGGCCCCAACAAGCCATGGGCAGCAGCAGAGCCCGGGCTGAGCCTGCTGCTCCCATGCACGGGAGGGCGATGGGTTTCTCTGCTGCCTTGTAAATGAGCATGTGAAACCCTGATCCCCCCCACGCTCAGGAAACAAACTCAGGGTTTGGTCCCAGGAAGAGAAAGCTCTTGCTGCTGTTGCAGCCTTGTGTCCTGTCTCAGCAGGTGCCTACACCTCATAGCAGCCTCATGGCAGCACCTCTCCCGGATTTGGTTTTACAGGTGGAGACGCCGGTCGAGCCTCTAACAAGGTTGCCTTGCTGAAAGCTGTACAGAGGTAACAGGGGGGTTTACTCTTTCTAAGGGTCCCAAAATGGCCAGGGCTCCTTGCTGCTGACAAAGCTGGTGGTTCAATGGTCTCTGCTGGGCTTGCAATAGAAATTCCCGTGGCGAAGAACAAAAGCAGCAGGTTTAAACCTGGCCTGAGCGTTCCAGCAGCTCTGGAGGGAGGCCCCTTTGGGCGCTAGGGGAGAGCTGGTGCAGGCAAATGCGATGGGGCTGCAGCTGGGGGGGGGGGCAAAGGGGAAGGGAGGGAGCAGAGCATGGGGACACCTGAGCTTTCTGTGACTCGCAACGACTCTGCAGAGAAGCCCAGATCTCGCGGAAGATGAAGCCAATGACACTTAAGGAATGCAAGAAGGAAGAGAAGATAGACAGGGAGTTTCAGAAGAAATTCAAGGTGAGCAGCAACGCGTGATTGCTTATCCCTCGAAGCTCCCCCTTACCTCCCGGGAAGGGCGCAACGCAATGGCAGAGAGGAGCTGTGCTCCGCAGAGAGCAGCCGATACCCAGGCCACAGCTGCCCTGCTCCCCACTGAAACATCCCCAGGTCAGACCAGTCCCACAGGCCATGTGGCTGGAGAGGGATCTGCTTTTTCCAAGAGGGGCGAGCGGTTGGAGCTGCCCGGCTCACGCGCCCCTGGGGTGGCTGCCGAGCTGCAGTGCTGCTGTTTGTGTTTCAGTTCGAAGGAAGCATCAGTGTCCTGACTCAGATGATGGTCGACCCCGCAGTGACGGAGAAGAGGGGCGGAGGGAAGAACCTGCCGCTGAGACGAGGAGAAATTCTTGATGTCATTCAGTTTACAAATCAGGAGCAAATCCTCTGCCGAAACAGCCAGAGGAGGTGTAAGTCTCTGGGGGCTGAGGCTTTGCCTGCAGCAGGGATCACAGCACACAAAGTTTTGGGAACAAGTTTCTTCGTGCGCACACACCCCAGGACAGCAGGAGATGTCCCCTTCCCGTTAGGCAGACCTGGCGTGTACCCTGGGTCTCAAATGTTCCCGCTTCTCTTTACACAAATGTCCCGCTATTCCTCCTGCTCGGCACCAGCATTGCTGCTGTCAGCGGGGCTTGTCGCCTCCCTCTGCTAAAAGCCTCCGCACTGCCCGGAGCCTCTCGTCCACCAGCCCGGCACATCAGGCTTTGCCGTAGGCAGGGACTCCACAAGCCGTGTTTGCACCGAAGGGCGAAATGGCTGCAGATCCCCCTGGCAGAGGCAGGGACCAGGCTCTTCCCCGCCAGCTGCTGCCCGGTGTGGCAGGCTCCTTCCCTGCATCGCCCTGGGCAGGTTCCTCCCAAGGGTCCAGCTTGGCTTCCCAAAGCCGGGCTCCTCCCTGCCCCCAGCTCTCCCTGGGGATGCGAGATGTTGCTAAACCCTGGCTGTCCTGGGCAGGGGCAGGGGCTGGGGTGAGACCCTCCCATGCCCCAGCACAACCTGACTTGCTTTTCCTTGCTCTGTTGCAGATGGGTACGTGCCCCGGGCTGTGATGCTGCACCTGTGAGTACCTCTTCCCCAGCCCCTGCCTCCCCTCTGCACAAGCTGTAGCAATCGCCCAGCGAGTGCTCAGCACCAAAACAGCCCTGGCCATTGAGCGCCAACTCAAAACCATCCAACCCAGGCAGTGATCATAAGTGTAACACCAGCCAGTTACCCTGGGGGTGGAACCTGCCACTTCTGGTGTCAGGAGAGGTTCTGGCCCTGGGGACAACTTCCTGGGGCACTGGAAGCCCTCCCCAAGCTGTGGTCCCTCAGGTGGGACCTGTCCAGACGCTGTTCAGATGCTGCTGGTGGCACGGCACGACAGGCCAGTGCTGCCCCTCCACGCGGCCAGGTCTGCGGCTCCCAGCAGCCTGGGATGGGGCCAGCGTCCACGCACAATGCGAGAGGGGCCAGAGCCGTGCTCACCCCACGCTGGAGGATCCCCCCTCTGCGGTGAGAGCACGAGGCTGGGAGGAGGCGGCTGGGGCTGTGTGGAGGTACCAGAGCCCGTAGAGATGTTAGGAGAGAAGGGAGAGGCGCGGCAGCAGGAGCTGGCCCTTGCCTCAGCATCAAGAGGTGGTGGGGACATGGCAGACCAGACTGCTCACAGCTCCCCGTCTTTTTTCTCGCAGGGACACTGACATCTATGACGACGTCCTCCCCCCCCCTCCCTTTCTGTGATTCCCTCACTCTGGGACGTCCCTGCCTTTCTCTCGGTTCCTTGCAGGTCCTCATGTTCCTTTGTTCCCAATTATTTGGACTTCCCTGCACCCTTTCCCTTCTCAGCTTGATCCCTCCACTTGCTGCCAGCCCCAGGGACCCTGCAATGTCCTTTGAGATGTCCCTGATCCCCCAGACAACTTGGGATGCCCTTTCCTGAGCAGTTCCTCACCCCTGGCATGCAAACTCCATCCCCCGGCTCACAGACAGCTCTGAAGACGGAGCTGAATGGAGATAACTGCACTTCAGCCGTGCCAGTGAGCAAACAGTTTATCTAATTCTGCCTGGCAGGTTGAGCGATCCATGCTAAAGCCAAAGGCACAAGACGGCGCGGACAGAGACCTCCCCAGGGACCGAAATGTGAAAAGCACTGTGTGCCATGCTCCTGCTTTGGAAGGAGCTCTGCTTCCTCCGAGGCAGCCTCCAAAAGCCACCGCGTCCCTGCCAAAACAGCGGCGAGGCCGTTCAGCGCTGCGGGGCTGCAAGGATCCTGTCCCACAGGGGCAAGGTGTTCAAAGAGATCCTCAGGTCAAGCCTTCTCCTTGGCTTTGTTCTGTCTGCGTAAAATACGGCAGTGGTTTGAGAGGCTTTCGTGGTCTTATTTGTGGGTGGGTAGGGTTAAAATCTGAGCCAGAGAGGGTTTAATTTGGAGAGGTTTTAATAAGTCCCCATCCCCAGAGCATCCTCAGCCTGGGAATGCCCTAAACCCACCCACCCCCTCCTTCAGCTGCCTTCTGCACCACCCTCCTGCCCCAGTGAGGCTCCTGAGCCAAACGGGACCCAGAAATATTCTAAAATATTGTGGGCAGCAATGGTTATTGCCCAGGCATCCCAGCAGCATCCCGCGGCCTTGGGGCGGGTTCCCTGCAGAGCTGGGGGCGGGGGGTGGATCTGCTGAGGTCGATATTCCCAGGGGAACATCCAGCATCACCCGTTGCTGCCTTGGGCTGATGGTCTGTGCGGATCCGCACAGGAATCTTTCCATGAAGTGGGAAAGGGTCTTCCCTTGCAAGCTTTGCCCTCACGAAGCCCCCACAGAAGGGGGTGCGCTTGCAGTCGATGGGAGCACAAATCCTGCGGCTGCAGGACCCAGAACCTTTTGGATGAGCAACTGTGACGGGAAGGGGCTTCTGGGGCGGAATCCCTGCTCTCAGCCTGCAGCGTGCGGACCTGATCCCGGAGGGTTAACCTGGGAGGGTTCAGCATCACACGGCTGGATGCCAAGCCCAGATTAACCAGTTGAAGACTTTCCATTACGGGAAAGGCTCCCACATAGCCCCGAAGCTTTTGGTCCCCGGGATTAGCCACTGGCACACTCGGCTCCCAGCAAAGGGCAGGGGTCCGTCGGCACGGTGGTGCCCAAGGCGATGAACGGGGCCGGGAGCTGCTCCGAGGGGCATCGCCTGGGTGGCTGAGGATGACCATGTGGGAGCGGGTCAGGAGAGCTTTGCTGAACTCGCTGTCCGCGGCCTTCCTGCGCGTCTGGAAGTGGGTACGGGCTTTCTGGTGTAAAAATGGCCTCTTGACCCTGTCGATGCTGTCGGTGGCCACCGGGTGCCTCCTGGGGTTCCTGCTGCGGGCGCTGGAGCTGACGGAGCTGGTAAGTCTGGCGGGGACGGGGACGATGGGGATGGGAGCAAGGGGGATGGAGTGGGGCAGTCAGGGCACCCAGCAAGACATCACCATCAAGGGCCCCAAACGGGCACAGCCCCAAAAGCAAAAGCTCCTGGCCCAACCCCTCCCCCCCCACCTCTCAGGGCCGGTTTCTCCCAATGGCTTTTCTCTCTTTTTTTTGACCAAAAAGCTGCCAACAAATGCCAAAGCTGCAGGACAAATCCTGCCCCCCTCCACTGGGAGTGAGGGGCTCCAGGCACAGATCCCATGGGACTGCAGGAGCCTCCAGGTGGGATGGGGATGGGAAAGGGGGGAATGGATGCTCGGCTGCTGGATGCTCAGTAACAGGCTCCTCCCAACACGAAGAGTAGCGCCGGTGCTCGAGGGATGAGCTCCTCCTGTTACCGCCCCCAGCTGCACAGATCCTCAACCAAAGCACGTTCAGATCCTCAACGAAAGCACGTTTCCACGCTCTGGAGAAGGCCCAGCAGATAAAGACAGGGTTGGTGGAGAGCTTGGGGGGCTTCCAGGGGTCACCTTCCCCTGAGGACCCTTGGGGACAAGCGCGTTGGAGAAAAATGTGCCTAAAAGGTGCGTTGGCTCAGCGCTGTCTAGGAGCTTCCACGTGGCTTTAATGACATCGGGCGCCCTGGCTGCGGCTCAGCCCTGATCTTCAGCTGGGCTGGCTGAGCCTGGGAGAGGGGACGCTGCTTCGGGAGGGCTCGGCTGGTGCTGGAACATCCCCGTGTCACCCGCAAGGATTTAGCAAAGTCCTGTCACTTCAATTACGCCCTCCAGCATCACCGCCCACAGCGGGGATGATCTTGTTACTTAATGGAAGCCGGGCGTAATCTCCCCGCGCCTGGTGCATGCGCCCGCGAGAGCCCAGGCTGGAGGCCAGCAGAGCCTGGGGGCTCCTGCCCCTCGTCCTGCCATGCGCCGAGTTCATCTGTCCTCTGCCCCCAGCCCATCCTGCCCCATTGCCACAGCCCTGCATGTGGGCCCCAGCCATCACTTCTCCCCGTTACAGACTTTTGTCCTGAAAATTGATGAAGGGCTGGAGAAGCCACCATTCCCCACTTTCCTCCCTGCAATGGGAAAGTGTCTCCAAGCTGAGAAACCCACTGGCAAAAGAGACGCCACTCAAACCTTGCACCCGGCTGGACCCACGTGGCTCCTCTCTACATGAGCTCCCCAGGGCGATCAGCCAAGTTTAGGCCAGATGGGTGGGTTAGCACAGGGACAGCAGTGTGGAGCTTTTATTTTAATAGTTTGCCTTGGCATCCCTCGAAGCCCGGTGGTGTTCGTTACTTTGGAGGAACCAGAAGTACCTGCTTGGCTTGGGGCCATCTCAGACCTGACCCTGACACCTCTACAGTGGCACAGGGAAAGGCTGGGGGGCGGGGAGGGTGGGAGGGAAGGTGGGTGGATGGAGGGATGAAGGGAGGCATGGAAGGAACTCAGCAGCCAGAATGATGGTGGATGGAGAGATGGACGGAGGGATGACGGATGGATGGATGGATGGATGGAATGAAGGATGGATGGAATGATGGATGGATGGATGGTGGGTAGAGGTAGGGAAGGATGGATGGTGGATGAAGGGAGGGAGGGAGGGAAGGATGGTGGATAGATGGATGGTGGATGGAGGAATGGATGGATGGATGGAAGGACAGGTGGATAGTGGATGAATGGATGGATGGATAACAGGACAGATGGACGAGGGATGGATGGATGGATGAAGGGATGGATGGATGGATGCTGGATGGAGGGATGCTGGCCAGGTGGCTGCCGGTCTCACAGACCTCTCACTCTTCTTTCGGTCATGGCTGTGGGATCCAGGCTTTGGGGGCCTCCAGGCAGCCCTTCCCCATGCCCACGTGAGGAGAAGTGGGGGAGTGTAGGCAGGGGATGGATGCCACAGGGTGGAAACCTCCCTTGGGAAACCATGAGGCTGCTCTGCAGATGGGCCGGACACCTGGGCTCTCCCTGAGCTCAGCTTTGCCATTTGCAGCCACCAGGTAATTCCACCTTCAGCTGCCAGGACCAGGCTGCACCTGACAGCTTCGGGGCAGTTTTGCATGTGCAGTCGAGCCTCTGCTCCCCAGTGACAAGTGCAGCGACATTTGGGAGGAGACAGCGGTGGGGCCATGGGCACCATTCCCTAGAGGGTGATGGACCTGAGGATGCTTTTGGGAAGGGACCGGCCCCACACGCCCCTCTCCAGTTCACAGTCGGGTTTCCCACGTGTCCAGTATTTCCCATCCTTGACGCAGCTCCTGGTAAGGGGAACAGTGCTGCAAGGAATGGCCGCTGGCTCGGAACCAAGCTCAGAGCTGGGTCTGGTTGGGAAAAAGGCAAATTTATCAGGTGTGAGCCCTTCGCCCATGATCAGTGTCCACTTCTCAGCTCTCCCCTGACACAACGGCTCTGCTCCATCTGCAGGAGAAGCAATATTTTTCCTTTCCTGGCGAGCTCCTCATGAGGATGTTGAAGATGCTGATCCTGCCCTTGATCACCTCCAGGTAAGACATCATCTTCTGCTCCTAAAGTACCATCTCTCCAGCACATTAAGGAGATTGTCCTGTGATCCCCCGTTGAGGACATCACCCCAAAACTGCCTGGGGTGAGAACAACCCTGGCCCCAACCAGCATTCCCTGGCTTGGTGGCCATCAAAGCCCATGACTTCCCAGCGATGGTCTGGGACAAATCCTCACCTGGATTTGGTAGACACCTACACCCAGGTGAGATTGAGATACATGCACTGGCCAGGGTGTTTTCCTTCTTGCTGGGCTCAGCCAGCTGGCAATGCCAGGACCATCCGTGGGCAGCTGATGGTGGGCAGCTTAAACTCAAAGCAGATTTCCTTATTTAGAGGGTTTTGAGAAAGTTTGGGTGGAAGCCACAAGCATCTCTCAGTGTTGTGCCTGCGTTTGCAAATCCCACTTTTATCAGCCTGTCCAGATCTAGAAATAAGGAACAGAGCTGACAGAGTCACCCTCCTGTCTAAGCAAGGCCTTGACAAGCGTACGTGGATTTACATAGTTTAAACCATTGCTGGCACGTGTGCATCAGAAATACCCAAGCAATTAGCTCTTAGTTCCCTTGAGGACGTGCCACTTCTCTATTGTTTTTCAGAGCTTCCTTGCTGTCCCATCTGCCTCTGGTTCCCTTCTGGGAGCAGTGTGGTCTCTTTCCTGGCCACATTTGGCCTTTTCTGTAGCCGTCCTTGCAGACGTGCTTTCTTTTCCCCTCCAGTATTTCACATCCCCTTCCCCGAGGCACTGCCTGGGTCCTCCTTCGCTCTCGGGGTGCTCTCAGCCCTCCTTGCAGCTCAGCGATGCTGGGT